TTTGAAACACATGGCAAACCAGACACAGCCATTGCAGACAACATGCCATTTGGGAGCAATGAGTTTGCTCAGTTTGCCGAAGAGGGGGGCTTTGAAGTTGAGACATCAAGTCCTCACCAGGCCCCATCCAATGGGAAATGTGAGAGATCACTTGGAACAATAAGGCAGCTAACGTGAAAGCATCACAAGAAGGACGAGATAGGCACTTGGCCCTCTTAGCATATAGAAATACATTAATATCAGGCCTTGAGTACTCTCCAGCACAGTTACTGATGAGCCGAGTGTTAAAAGACAGGCTGTCAACAGCGGCAAGTCTCCTATCTCCAAAGGTTGCAGAGGATTTACACAGGTCTTTGCTAGCCAGACAACAAAGACAAAAGAGATATCATAATCGGGGCACCAAGGCCCTACCCGCGCTCCAAACTGGTGTCCCTGTGACCGTTCAGCGAGGGCGTACATGGCACCCCGCCATTGTTGTAGAGAAGCATGAAGCACCACGCTCTTTCAAAGTCAAGACTGAAGATGGCCAAATCCTCCGACGAAATCGCAATTTTCTCCGCCAGTCCATGGAGACTGAGCCTACCCAACCAGATCAAGTCACATCGCCAGCAACACTAACAGAGGATTAGGTGGCCCACCCAGTGACCCATGCCTCTCAATGTACTTCCCCAGAGAAATTCCCGCTGAGACAACACCCCCTGTGGGACTTTCAGTGGTAACTCCTCAGGCACCCAAAAGGAGGGTTTCGGAAAGACAGAGAAATAAACCATTATGAACACTGACTTTCTAGAACAAAGCTATGGAACTCAAGTATTTTGTGCATTAGAAATGTTATCTGTTATTGTTACCAGTGCCACACGCAAGTTCAGTTCCCTGCATTAGGTTTTTATTTTCCTTGTTTCCAAAAAAAAAAAAGGAAAGAGGGATGTCACATGCGTATGCCTCCCTGAATAGCACGTGTTTGCTGTATGTTGCATATTAGGAACTCACAAATTAACGGTTTGGCTTGATAGCCCAGTGGTGAGAGTACTGCAACGGTACGAATTTCTCACTTCTGTTTGTTTTTTGCCATTAAAATGTCATGTTTCTCATACTTCTGTCATCAAAATGATAAAAATGACAATAGTCAAACAAAAATTGCAAATTAGTAACTCTGACGTCATCTGTGGGTTGTGCTATTGGCCATTACAGAAAACACCGTAATATTATTACTAGACGTGCTATATTAAGATTTGTTATACTCCTAGACTTTCACTCAACTAAACAGGGACAGCCATTGGCTGATTCTTGGTCACATGGCCTTGACTAAAATCAAATGTATCCCGATCGTGATACATCAAGCAATGTACCCTGTTCGGGATACATTACAGCACGTGAACAAAGCATGGTGGAAAGTGGCGTGACAGAAGGCGGGAAAAACACTGTCAGTTTTCTTTTTCGTGAATGAACTCAACAACACAAACATGAAGCCTCAAGCTAAAAGCAACGATTTTCAAAGTTATCCCAGGAGAGAAACAGCAGTTAGTCGGGATGAAAAAAAAATGTAAATTTAAATTTGTAAATTGTAATTTGTTTACCCACGGATCACTAAGGAGTTCATAAGAACTCGTTGAAACGTGCCCGTGCGTTCCAGATCGAATTGGAATTTGAAAGTGTTGGTTTTTAAGGAGAGGGGAAAACCGGAGTACCCGGAGAAAAACCTCTCGGAGCAAGGGAGAGAACCAACAACAAACTCAACCCACATATGGCGAAAATCATTTTTGAAGGAGAAATTAAGGATGCAAATACTAAGCAGTGTTTCATCCGATTTCCAAACACTCATTAAACATTAATTTCCTTTGTATTTTCTTAATGAATTATTAATGAGTTTGAGAAGTTTTCTTCAAAGAAAAGGTGGAGCTACCACAACCAGCAAGTAAAGAAGATGTTCGCAGACTGATGGGCACGGTGGCCTCCTTTAAGGATTTCAACCCTGACATGTCCAAAACCATGTTTCCTATCAGGCAACCACTTAAGAGAGGTGTGGATTTCCAGTGGTTACCAGAACATGAACAGGCCCTTAATAAGATCAAAGAAATTGTCATTAGCGAGCCAGTCCTAAGTTTCTATGACCCCACCAAAAAGGTGAGCATACAAGCTGATGCCTCATCCACTGGGCTAGGTGCCTGCCTCCTCCAGGACAGTGGCCCACTGGTCTATGCCTCACGAGCATTAACTCAAACTGAACAGCGTTGGTTCCAAATTGAAAAGGAGTTACCCGCAGTCACATTTGCTGCTGAACATTTTCACCATTGAAATAAATAGTGAAATAATTTATGGATTGTGATTTTAAGCAGTTGCGCGCGCCTTCTTGCACGCGCTTGAGGGTGAGCGTACACCTTTGCTTGTTTGAATGTAACAACGTATTGTAACAGTTTTCGCCAAACTGAAGAAGTTTGAATAAACGATACTTGTCATAAGGCTAAAATAAAGGCTAGTGCGTGAAAGACTATTCGTAAAACTCAGTACAGTTGTTATGAGAATTATATCCAAGTCTTTCGAGGTTTCAGCAAGAAAAGTTACCCAGAGATTTTCACCATTACATCTAAGGAAGAGAAGTTTAAGTAGAAAATAATCATAAGCCACTGGAAACCATAATCCGAAACCCACTCCAGAATGCTTCCCCAAGAATTCAGCTCGTTTCTTCGGTTGCTGAGGTACAAACTCAACCTGCAATATGCCCCAGGCACCAAGGTGTACATCGCTGACATGCTGTCCCGGGCACACCCGCCGTCCTCACCTCCAGCTGAAGATAACCACATTGAGGAAATGGAGCCGTGAATACACAGTCTGGTTTCCTCCCTTCCAATTAATTTCCAATGACAAAATGAACTTTCTGAAACAAGCAACAGAAGTAGATGATGCCCTACAGATGGTGAAAACCCTCATCATTAAGGGATGGCCAGCATACAAGAGAGACACCCCCACCTGTACACGACAGTACTGGCCACTATGTGACGAGCTCCACATTATAGAAGGTCTGGTATTTAGAGGTGAATCCCTAGTCATACCGCCCAGCGTGCGCCATGAAATATTGACTAATCTACATGAGAGCCACCTGGGCATAGAGAAATGTAAAGCAAGAGAGCGCTCCATCATGTAATGGCCTAGAATGGGGAGGGACATCGAGGAAACAAAATCAAGGTGCTCCATATGTGCCAAATACAAGCCTGCCAATCCCTGCGAGCCACTTATCCCGCATGTCATCCTAGAGCGTCCATGGTCAAAACTAGGGATTGACATTTTCACATTCAGGGGAAGAGATTATCTTCTAGTTGTGGATTACTTTTTCAGATATCCAGACGTCTACCAGTTATCCACAAAGACTGCAAGCCGCGTGATCTCACACCTGAAAACCTGCTTTGAAACACATGGCAAACCAGACACTGCCATTGCAGACAACATGCCATTTGGAGCAATGAGTTTGCTCAGTTTGCCGAACAGTGGGGCTTCGAAGTTGAGACATCAAGTCCTCACCAGGCCCCATCCAATGGGAAAAGTGAGAGATCAGCTGGAACAATAAGGCAGCTAACGAAGAAAGCATCAGAAGAAGGACGAGATATGCACTTGGCCCTCTTAGCATACAGAAATACACCAATATCAGGCCTTGAGTACTCTCCAGCACAGTTACTGATGAGCCGAGTGTTAAAAGACAGGCTGTCAACAGGGACAATTCTCCTACCTCCAAAGGTTGCAGAGGATTTACACAGGTCTTTGCTAGCCAGACAACAAAGACAAAAGAGATACCATGATCGGGGCACCAAGGCCCTACCCGCGCTCCAAAACTGGTGTCCCTGTGACCGTTCAGCAAGGGCGTACATAGCACCCTGCCATTGTTGTAGAGAAGCATGAGGCACCACGCTCTTTCAAAGTCAAGACTGAAGATGTCCAAATCCCCCAACGAAATCGCAATTTTCTCCGCCAGTCCATGGAGGCTGAGCCTACCCAACCAGATCAAGTCACATCGCCAGCAACACTAACAGAGGATCAGGTGACCCACCCAGTGACCCATGCCTCTCAAAGTACTTCCCCAGAGAAATTCCCGCTGAGACAACATCCCCTGTGGGACTTTCAGTGGCAACTCCTCAGGCACCCAAAAGGAGAGTTTCGGAAAAACAGAGAAATGAACCATTATGAACACTGACTTTCTAGAACAATGCTATGGAACTCAAGTATTTTGTGCATTAGAAATGTTATCTGTTATTGTTACCAGTGCCACACGCAAGCTCAGTTCCCTGCATTTAGGTTTTATTTTCCTTGTTTCCAAAAAAAAAGGAACGGGCGATGTCACATGCACATGCCTCCCTGAATAGCACGTGTTTGCTGTATGTTACGTATTAGGAACTCACAAATTAATGGCTTGCGTTTGGCTTGATAGCCCAGTGGTGAGAGTACTGCAACGGTACGAATTTCACACTTCTGTTTGTTTTTTGCCATTAAAATGTCATGTTTCTCATACTTCTGTCATCAAAATGATAAAAATGACAATAGTCAAACAAAAATTGCAAATTAGTAACTCTGACGTCATCTGTGGGTTGTGCTATCGGCCATTACAGAAAACACCGTAATATTATTACTAGACGTGCTATATTAATATTTGTTATACTCCTAGACTTTCACTCAACTAAACAGGGACAGCCATTGGCTGATTCTTGGTCACGTGGCCTTGACTAAAATCAAATGTATCCCGATCGTGATACATCAAGCAATGTACCCTGTTCGGGATACATTACAGCACGTGAGCAAAGCATGGTGGAAAGTGGCGTGACAAAAGGCGGGAAAAACACTGTCAGTTTTCTTTTTCGTGAATGAACACAACAACACAAACATGAAGCCTCAAGCTAAAAGCAACGATTTTCAAAGTTATCCCAGAAGAGAAATAGCAGTTAGTCGGGAGGAAAAAGATGCAGATAATATAAGGAAAGGTACTTTGTAAATCATTTATTTAGTGGTTTTGAGAATTAAATTTGTGTTCTTATAAGTACCGACTCGACTGTTTTGATTCGCTCCGCTAAAGCGTATTCTTTTGTTGCTGTTAAAGTACGTTGAAGTGAAAGTCTAGAAATATAACAAAACACTTAATGTCAGGTCCCTCGGGAAACCAGTTAGTTTTGTTTTCCCTCGAGTCCTGTTGTTTCCCAAGACCAAGTCGTGGGAAACATCAGGACTCTCGAGAAAACAAAAATAACTGTTTCCCTCGGAATTTGACATAAAGGGTATACTGTAGCCGATCTACAAAAATACCATAGACATAAGCAAGCAACCTAAGCTTCGAAAAAATTCAAACATACTGTAGAGAGGAGATTCGTCGGTTGTGTGGATGAATACCGTGGCGGCTTATATTCTAACAACCAGTGCGTTCTGTTCTGAAAACGATAAAGCAAACAAACATATTAATTTCTATAACTAGTGGTTAGCCTATTTCACAGTTGTGGCCTTAGTACCCTAGCCTTCGAGTGAATGTGAGGCTGACGTTTACCTTGTTTTGATACAAAACTTCCTTTGTCAGTTTTCTTAGGGAAATTATGCTTGAAAAAAAAAACACGTTAGCATAAGAAAAACATCATTGACATAAGAAAGTAGAAAGGGTTGTAACATCGTTTCCATCTAAAACTGTAAAATTGGTTACAAACAGTTTACAGTCGTACGAAAACAAATTGAACCTATTTGCGCGCGCCACAATGTACGATTCTTAACACATTAGAATGACGTAATAAGAGTTTAACGATTTGAAACTAAGTAATAACGACACCGCTGGACATTCTTGCTAAAAATCATCCTGACAAACTTAAATCCACATTTCAACGCCTAAATAGCGACGAGATGCCCAAAGATTAGTAAATGCCCCACACGACTCCACCACACAACTCCTCCACGTAGACGGTTTATTTGCTTTAATTTGCTTGAAAAGTAATATCTCAGTTTACATCATAGAACAGTAGGTTATTTTCTCGTAAAAATGACCTCCTGTTCCACCACAGCGCCCTACTTTTTCTTTTATTGAAAATCATAACGTGTTCACAACAACGGAGAGGTGCAATAATTATTAGTAACCTGAGTGCACGTTTCGAATCAGAGAAAAACCTTTGCTTACTAACCTTTGGTATAAGTACACAATCCACATCGTGGCCCTCATCAACATCGTCTCTCCGGAATTTGTAAAATAGTGAATAATGTGTCCAATTGTGTTCTAAAGAATTAAGATTTCCATCAGTTAAATATTTGTAAATGATATTATTGCTGCCGCGCAAGCGAGCCTGAAGCGAGCGAGCAAGGCAGCAGACCTATTCCGTACAGGGACAAAAATTCTTGGTTTCTATCCACGATGCTTCTGAATTTTTGGACCGTATTTTTACCACAGTTCCTTGCAAGCCGATTGCCTTTATAAAATATAAAACGGCAAACTGGTCATTACAGCGAGGCGATGAATAAGTGAACAAAAGAAAAAAACAAAAAAATATATTTAAACAACTTTGCCCGATATTTCGGTTCGAAACACAGACCTTCTTCAAGGCGTAAAAGAAAAATGAAGATAAAACTGAAAGTTCGTAACTGAAAGTTCGTTACAAATAGGGTTTGAAAAATATATAAAATTAAAGTAGATTGTGATTAGTGTGGGTGACTAAGCTGTATCGTATATCAAGGAACTTCGTCACGTCTATTTATTCCTAGAGGAGCCATTGTTTTCCCTTACCAATAAAAAGAGCCTCCCTAGCTAGCTGGTAGCTAGCCTTTCTCAATCACGGTTACTGCATATGTGTTCCCCACACCTCCGTCCGCCACTGCTGGCTTCAATCTTATTTTTGCCTAAGAACTGGCGCAAGCCCGATTGAAAATCTGAAACTTACGACGATAGTAAAGGACATAATTCTCGGTAACCTGCGCTACAGACGGAACTTAACTTCTGGGCCGGGTTGTCCAAAGCTGGGTTAAGTTAACCCAAGGTTGAAATTTGAATTCAGTTTAATTTAGTTCTCTTTGTCTACAATTTGGTGAGAGGAGTATCTAAATAGAACAGAGAAAATTAACGGAAAAATGCTTTCGAACAAAAGAAAGAGAAACCGGGATCAAATTTAACCCCAGGTTGGCGCTAATCGGCTGATCGAACAACTGAGCCCTGGTTAAGTTACTAACTGGGGTTAGATAACATCTGGTTGTCACCAATTACACCCAAGTATCAACGGCCATTACTAAGCATGCGCAGTTCATTACCTTTGATGGTATTCTCCTCGAAGGGCATCCACGATACATTGTAACGATAATTGGCTTGGAAGTCAACATGCAGAATTTTAGTAGGAACAGGCCAACCAACATTTTTAGTGTAAGTAGAAACACCGTGGCATGCTGGAATCCAAAATAAAATGAAATCTTTAACTGCATTTTTCGTCATTGTTTTTCTTTTGATACCCTTGCTTTATCCGTTTTTATTATATGGAGGAGAGTGTTTTACTGGGAACTAAACCACTCGTAGATTCCATACGCCACTTCATCCGGGACCCGAGTGGCGTATTTTCCGTATGTCACCTTTGTGAGTGTCGTATCGTTCCATGACGTCACGATTCCCGCCTTTTGCTTTTGTTGAATTGGTTTCTCCATATAATAAAAAGAACATTACACGTTGGCTCGAAGATATGAATTTTATGTTCTCGTGGCAAGAACAATATCTCACTCGTTCGCTTCGCTCGCTCGTGAGATATTGTTCTTGCCACTCGAACATAAAATTCATATCTTCGAGCCAACGTGTAATATCCTCTATATATCAATGAATGACGATCAGGGGAGGGGGGGAGCTACTTCCGACACATTCTCTTACATGAAATCCAAACGATGTTCTCACAACTTACAAAGCAGTCAGCAAGGGTCTTGCCAGCGGACTTGTGTACTGATCATGCGCATTACGTCAAAAATCATAGATCAACGGTTTTGAGAAGGAACAAAAACATGACGGTCCAAGGCCGGACTGTTTCTCACTGTTACATTTTGGTAATTCGCAAATTTATTGATTTTATGTCGCTTTTCAGACATAGTGTGTGGTTTTCTTTTTCTGTTAAACAATTTCCCTCTGCAGAGTTTGGAATCTGATTTGCAACTTATAGCTGCGTATACCTGATAAGAACAGCCGAAGAGTTGAGCTATCGAGCAGTGTTTGGCTGCAAACCTTATAGGAAAGTTAAGGTCTCTTCAAGGAACAGAGCTTTCAGTAGTAGTTGTGATTTGTTTATAACGATCGCATTGAATTTTAACGTTGAATTCAAGGAGTTGACTAATCGTAATAAACGAAGTGAAACGTTGTGAAGAGTTATGTTTGTTTAGGTATGTATGATATGTACGGCTGTGAGCTCATATTTATAAGGCTCTCTTGAATATACTCACTTCCGAAAAATTTGACACTCTCTCCAGTAATTTTTATCAGCATCATAACTTCTTTTATCTTCTGATGTCCTCGCCCGGCAAAAACGATGTAACCTATAAAGATCTATAAATCGATCGAGCGCGTAGTTGTTGGTTAAGATTTAACACGGTTGCGTTTTAGTTTCCCCTGCAATTTCAGTACCAAAAGACAAATACGATATGCAAGAAAAACAGAGATGCATGATATTTTTTTTATCATTTCCTCTGCCGGTTGGTTTCTCGCTTCTATATAAAAATATTAGCCTGAATATTTACTGTGGGAAAAATACTGCAATTATCCGCTGACCACCACGCAGAGTGACCGCTGCTTTGCAAGTTGTGAAAACATGGTTTCTACGTCCCAGACCTCGTCTCTTCCACCTCGACCGCGCCCCCGCCCCCGCCCCCGCCCCCGTGATGACGATAAATTCCCACTAAACCTTACCACCAACACGCAGGATTTGGACTAAGAAAGCCTTTATTAATGACTGAAAAAAACTAAACAAAAAACCTATGAAAATAAAGGGAAGCATAACACTCCGAACATATTACTTCGTCGGGATGCATTGATTTACTGAGTTAATCAGACTGCTATGTTCTACGTATTCGCCTTGTGTGCATATGATGGTATCCTTACTAAGTCTCCTTACTAATCTATCAGGGTCTGCCGGGATAGGGGACCCTGATCCCGCAGTCCGCCTGCTTTTGCACGACAATTCCGCATCCCGAACTTCTGTCATCTCTACCCCGAATACCCTCTTCTTTCCCGTGCCAAGATTTAAGGTGGCTGAACACAGTTTTGGTAGTTTGTGAGTACACGTTATTTGCCACATCATGGCTATACAAAGGTTGCAGCTCACAAACTGAAACTTGGCAAATGAAAAATATACTGATGAAAGATTTTGATTGACAGGTAAAATGTGACGTTTTCTTAGTTTCCATGGCAACATGAACGATTGAATACAGCCTTAAAATTTCAATTTTGCTCAGTTTACATAAAATTCTCCCATTAGATTTCCTATAAACTTGCACACAGCCTACTATAATAGTTAATCATAACCATTTGAAACTTGTTTGACCAAATTTTAAATGACGGGTTTTTAGATAATCAGTAATATAATCGTACTGTAATTATTAAATGCGCAAAAAAAAATCGACTGTTCAACTTCCATTTTAAAGTTCTCATTATTTAAAATACGATAAAAGTAAAAATTGTGCCAAATATTACAAAATTTTAATGAGTAGATTTTGAGAAATCGTCTTCTGTGTACATTGCTTTCTACGCCGCAATGTTTGTTTGCCTAATTTAAAACACGCGCCGTCACGAGAGTTACCGCTGGCCGCCCGCAAAACTGTGTTCAGCCACCTTAAGTGAATCCCGCTCTCCGAGTAACGGTTAAATTGCGTATCACGTCAAGAAATTTTGCGTTTTCCCTAGTCCCGCACTGTATTTTGGTCAAGTACCGGCCGGATCCTATATGGCTAAAAAAAAGTATACTTTTTACGCTCATGCTGTACATTAACAATTTACCCGCCTTGAGTAATTTTACTTGCCGACAATTATGATGTATAGACTTATCGATGGCCCAAGAGGTAACGATAGTAGCGAAATCTGGTTCCAAAAATAGAAACTGTGCAAGTCTACCTAAGCCTAGTCTCCTACGCAGCCGATTTTAGTGTAGTCACGCAACGCTCCTGGGAAGCCTGGTGTCAACCCAAGGAGACTAGCCCTAGGACATATCCTGGCTCATGATCTGGACAAGCATCAAGGTAATGCTGAAGCTGCTATTTTGAAAAAAAGACGTACATATGTGCATCACGTAAAAAATGACACTAAAGGTAACAACCCAAGGAGACTAGCCCTAGGACATATCCTGGCTCATGATCTGGACAAGCATCAAGGTAATGCTGAAGCTGCTATTTTGAAAAAAAGACGTACATATGTGCATCACGTAAAAAATGACACTAAAGGTAGAAGTAAGAATAATTAATTTCTTATTAAATTGTAGAATTTGGAATCATGTTCCGTGCCCTTCATCTCTGAAATGTATGTTATATTCGACATACACTGACGAAGTGCGCGAGCCTCACACGCTTGTTTGACTGCTCGCGTGTACTTGAATACGCAAAAAAACGGGACTGTTTTGCAGTCCAAAACGTTTCCGGCTTTACTTACTTTGTACGGTCCCGGCTTCTGCACGACGTTTCCTTCTTAATCTCACTGACACACGCGGGTTTTCTCCTTCTAGCGAAACTACAATGAATAAGAAATAAATTAGACAATTGGGCTTTTAGTATACGTTTACATATAGGGTTATAAGATGGTCAATTTCCCGTACTAACCGGGTACATCTCCACATTACCCCCCTGGAGAGAGGTTGTTTTAGACCCTTGTTACAATCCACAATTTCAGTTCAATCGAAGGCGGAGGGAACTCCCAGTTACGTGCTCAATGATGCAACTAATTTCAGCTGTTAAAGGATCATTATGTTATAAAAGTCTTAGCTATCAGCATTTATGAGGCAAAATGCTAAACTGATTATGGAAAAAAGGTCTTCCGTACCTCTAGGAGCCTTGCCTTCCTCACATTGCTTGATACATTCATACAAGGAATTTGTCTGTTTAGAAAACAAAGGCACTCTTCATCTGATCAGACAATAAAATAACAAGATTGTTTAAACCTCAGCTATACATAATCCATTCTTTTCACACATAAACCATGGTAGCGTGTTGGGAGCGTTCAACAAACGCTGTGAAACACTCATAAAGCACCCACAAAAACTCAGAATAAAAACGAAGATTAGTCTCTTTTCCGCATGCAACAAAAAGGAAATAGGAGACGTCTGCACGCAGGCTATTTTTTATCATTATTATTATTTTCACTTTTCTATGATTTTAATTTAGAAAAATGATATTGGCCGTGTTCACCCTACACTCCGCTCTGAAACTCTCTAAAGACTAGAGAAGATTTCCAAGTTACAGATCGCACGCCTTCTGTTACAATCCACGGGTACAATTCACTTCCTAATCCTTCAAAACACTAGTTCTTCCAATTTTGCATTTAAAGGAGCACGCTCCTGCTTTAAAAGATTTTCAGCCATAGTCAGCAACTTTAGCCTCCATGGTTGGGCGGCTGGAAAACGTGGCCGTCCACCATTCGGACATCTGCTGATCGATGGAGCCAAAAGCGGAGGAGCCCAGTCACCAGGCTGATTTAGCAACAGAACATGGACGTCGTTTGACGACGGGAAAGCGTGCGGAAAGGACTAAACTAGATTTCCCGCGCCCAATTTGCCGCTCTGAACTGGCAGGGCAGTCTGAGGTCTCAACCTTTTCTCCATACCAAGGAGCGGTTAGCTAATGAGCTTCAGCTTCCTTCAGTAACACCTTATCAATTTTTTATGACACTTCCGGGAAAGGAAGGGGGTGGGGGGAAGGGATGCTTTCTAAACGAAACAAAATATCTCTACCCTATAGTCCTCTAGATCTGCCACTGATCATGAAAATTTGGATAGCTGAAGCAACGCCTTAGCACACTGCCACATTCTAGATGTACCTATCATGTAAATATATGTTACATTTCATTTTCATTTTTTTTCTTGCTTTTCAAAGTTTACAGAATATTTCGCAATTTTCGTTATCACGAGTCCTATTTTTCTGATATACTTGCGTGAACATCTCAATATTATGTCTCGGCGACCTGCAATAATCAAAACGCCACGCCACAATCTTGCAGCAAGACAATCCCGACACGTGTTTAATTGAAATACTGGCTTCATATCCGTCTTTGCCACTTGGCTTCAATGCGTGTTGAACGCTGGCGACGGCACGATCATCCAACAATTTAACCAGCACGTAATCCCGAAAGGTCACATACCAAAATAAAAATAAAAATATTTCTTAGAAAACTTAAATTTAAAAGAATTTTCGATCATTACCAAAGCGCCTCAAAATTTCTAAATACAGTAATACTACTCTTTATGTATAGCAACACATGCGTATCAAAAGACATCAACTGTAAACAGAATAAATTAGAAGGAAAAAATCTAATCCCCTAACGGAAAGCATGACCCATGATGTCAAAAAAACATCTGGCATGGAACTCGTGAAATAAAATGACGGAAATTAAAAGCAAATTCGTTTATTTTCACACATTATCAAACACTCTAATTGAAATTTGTTAACTATGGAGTAATCGGCAGTACCTAACAACAGAAGTGACAGAATACTCCCCGACAAGTCTGTGGCAATTCTCAAATGTGCGCATTAACCAATGGCTGCCATAGCAGCGTCACACATCTACAAGTTTGCTCAATGCAGTGGTTTCATGGGCAAAGTGAGATGAAAAAGGTACTGAAAACTGTCAATAAGCGTATGGGGGATATTCGCATATTAATATATTCACGACAATACTAAACAATGTTCACCCATATGAACAGGATGTCGGTCCGTCGATCCCCGCAGAAGCGGATGCTTGGGTGTTGCTTCACCAATTCTGTGTACCGCATAGCAATGGCCTTTCTTATGTTGCTCAGCTCAAATTCGCTCTCAAAATTTCATAATTACTGCACACATACCTTTCGCTTCTGCTGATGTCGGGTATCCCAAAGACAAGGGCGCAGACACGATATATTTCCCCGCAACGACGAATGGCGTCGACCCTCAGAATGGTCGTCTGCAGGAGTTCTACATTCAGCCATTAGAGGGTAAATGATAACCACAACAAGCAATCTGACTAACGTTTGATAATTAGCCATGTTAAGGCAGCTTTTTCATCTCTGCGTTCCGTTCCAAACAACGAATGTTGAAATGTTGCTGGTAGTCCCCTTCAGCGTACTATATAGCACATGACAGCAACTCCGGAAGAATTGAAACAAACATTTGATAATCCGTCACGTGCTCAAGCGAGTTGATGCCAAGCGGCTGCCATGCCATGACGCGCCAGTGGCGTCAATAGTCCTTTCCATTCTTGATAACAACTTGATGGGATCAGGGATGGGGCCAGAAAAACATTTTTCTGCGTATTTCTTAGTCACTTTTCAGCTGTCACTGTTTACCCTGTACTGATCAACTGAAGCCTTTTCTTTCACCAGTTCACTTTTGGTTTTTCATTCTTCCTTCAGTAGAGTGCAACAGTCATGACACCAATTAGATAGTTTCAGTTCTTTCAGTGCTGGCAAAACCACTGAAAACAAACAATCTTCCTGAACACTGCGAAATCTTATAGTAGCTCTCTATAACAGCACGATTACGGGGGAAGGGATTTTTTGGGGGCAGCCAGCATCGGTATTCAAAGGGTCAACCACAGCAAGGAAAGCGTTTCGGCAAAATTCCAAGCTAGAGTTTCTCATCCATTATTTAGTTACCAGCCAGCAAATTCTTACCCTGAAAAGCGGATCCGTTAGGTACTCCTGCTATTATCAGGCAATTTTTTGTTGGCAAATATTTATTAAGACAGAGAAAAATGCTACGGTTTTGATCTCCCGCTTTAGTACCACTGAGATTTCAAAGTTTCACAGTAAGACTAGTCACTAGGGCTAAGCGTTTGATCAAGGTCACTGAATGATACCAGATATTATGTTTTGTATATTAGCGGAATTTAAAAGTTATCATATCTGTGAATCACATCCTACATGGTATACGTATCTAACACCGAATATACCATACTTATGCAGGGGCGGATCTAGGGGGAGGGTGCAGGGGGTGCGCACCCGGGGACTTTACTGGACGCCGAAAGATTAATTGTGACACGTCAGACGAAATGTCAATATGTTTTAGACGAAATAGTAAACTATACATAAGAGTCGTCAAGTGTAATACAGTAACGGATCAGCTTTCGGAAGATCTTCATATTCGCTATTAAAATTAGTTTACGTCACCAGTCAATTACACCTTAGTAGTGCACCCCCTCCTACGAAAAATCCTGGATCCGCCTCTGTTATGGACGTTGTTTGCATTTTTTGATGTCCGCTTCAAGCCTTTTACACTATAAACGTCTGAGCAGGATGTGAAACAGATTTTGTTCAAGTGCTGTACTGACTGCAAGACTGAATGTGGAGAGCACAAAAAATTTGAAGTAAAAAAGTTTTAACCAGCGGTGGTAAAAGTTTCAACCAGCGGCGGTAAAGTGCACTGTTATGACGTGGCAAACTGACGAAGAAGCTCAGATTGTCTTTCTGGCGAAAAAGAATTCTTTAGTGTCCTGAAAAAAATGTAAAAAATGAAAGTTCATTATGTTTTTGTAAGGATTACAAAAGTTGTAAAGGAGGAACTGCTCATGAAGGACCCAAAAAGTCTGTTTTTTAAACAAAAATTTAGTTCATAGTCCATAAACACGATTTTTAGCGAGCAATTTATATGTATTTTGAACGGAAATTTCTCGTCAGCATCAGTGTTTGCTCGGTTTACGGAAGGTCGAGATCGGCTTAATTCATTGGTGGCCCGGCATCTCTCTAGCAAAACCGGATTCCTCCTTATTAATTATTAAGTTATAAGACTGAACAGAGTAAAAGTTATGACACGCCGCCAAATTTCGCATTAAATATACGGTCTAGATCTTGGTCCCTCTCCCCCTAATTTTTCAACGCTGAATCATTCTCATTTACGTTTTTTAAATTGTGATCTTCCTTTGTTTCTCTGTAAAGGCCAAAAAACCACAAAACTGGCTTAATTGCATTTTATAAAATACTTTTTGCTGCGTTTCTAGGAAATAAATATTATAAGTGTGCGGAAGTCGTCTTTCAGTTAAAGTTCTGAAATATTTTAATTAATATGTGATTTGACACTAGTTTCTCTCGCTTAGTGGCGTCATATTTAAAGAATTATGGGAGTATTGGACATGACAGAAATAATTGTCAGATTAGTTTCTCATTTCTGCTTTGGCAGTTCTCTGCTTTTATATTTGTCTACAGGCCCAAGTTATCCAAAAACTGGATAGCGAACAACTCCACTCTCATCATGGGAAAAGTTCTTTAGATTCTGCGAAACAAAGCCGCCAAGATAATTCTTGATCACCATCATGGCGCAATCCCCAAGTTCCTTTGGACCGACTTTTGTGTTCGCTGCAAGCTTATTAAGCTTCTGATATTGGGCCTGGACGGACTATTCGACGTTATGTATATTACACCCCAATATCTCATAGAAATTTTACTTCAACACACTGCAGTTTTGTTTTTGGGGGGAAAACCTAGGACAGAAAAGAACTTATTTAAATTTTTCGCTACTAATACCTATAATTTTCTAATCTACGGCACAAGCTGTGTGGTATGTGTTTGAGGTGTGCAGGTCCCTTGTGCAGTGTATTCACTGCCGAGAAATGTGCGATAGCCTTCATACGCTACAAATTATAAGCGCGTTACAACAACTACTAAAACGTTTTTCAAAAATGGGCTCTTGGGCCCGACAGCTAAGAGTCTGTCGATAGAAGCAACGAGAACTCTTTTATATCTAGATAATTTTTTTTCGGCCAGGATCCCAGACCCGGAGGTTTTTCTTGAGCCATGCATTAACATGCTCGAGTTCCTTCTAGCAATCGGCTAGAGCTATCTCCATGATCTTTCACCGATACGTTTTTAAAAAGATTGAAACTAATGTGAAATTAAAGGATTCAGACCGGGAACCACTCAAATTTGCTTGGAAAATGAAGACATTGGGGGGGGATCGCGAAAGTCATCAAATGTTATTAGGGGGGATCACTTCAGTAAAGTAACAGTGAAAGGGGGGATCGGCTAAATTTCACCTTGCTTAGCCCCAAATCCTCCGCCTTTCTCCCCCCCGCCCCCACTTCTCCTGGCGATAATAAAATGACCGGTCCATAAAAACTTCATCCCAAAATATCTCGATAACGCTCTCACGGATTTCACTCAAACTTCATGAAAATCGAGGCGGCCATTGGAGGAAAAAGTTCCCGTGAACGATTTTGGAAGAACAGTTCCCAGTGCCGAGGAATACGGCTGCAAGTAAAACAGGTAATGGCATCATTTTGTTGCTATGACAACTTCGATGTCATTGTAACCCTGGTGCCTGCCAAATTTTCATCTTTATCTAATACAGCTGTGGCCGGTTTTCCCTCGTTGGCACTTAGTGATAGCTATTCTTGGTTTTCACATAACATCACCAAAATTCAAACTAAGAAACTATCGCTTCTTCTGAGTTTCTACTTTCATGTGGAATTACAGCACCTTAAAACCTTTATACAAAAAAATTTCGATTCAAAAGGGTTCTTCGTTTAATTTTGCGATACACGACGCGTGAATTTCCAGGCTTTTGTGTGACGGGGCATTTAGCTGATGGCCAGGAAAGCTCTTATGTGGGTTTAAAACATTACCGATTTTGAGAGATTGAGAATAAATACTACTTTAATCTTTATGAGTTCCTCACGGCGAAGAATTCACGCATTAGTAGAAAAACTCAAAAACTAGATGTTTCAGTTGGTTTGCGGCGGCCATATTTGTGCCCCTGAAGGGGACACAATGAACATGGCGTCTCCATACAAAGCTTTATAAATTTGGGTGAAACGTTTTCCCGAATATCTTGCATATGAACCATTGCATAGACCTGATTCTTGGCAAGGCTTTTTGTATAATTATCCTCTTTAATTCATTTCCCAGATTCTAGACTTTCTGTATTAAAAGGTTTCCATTTTTATTTTTGACGTTTTGACAGTGAAAACCATGCACCAATAACTGGTATTTACTATCACACCACTACGGGACACTATTACATTTTAAACAAACGGTCTTACCTTACGGAGATTATCGCAATCAAAGAACGTGAACAATAAAGACTTTTATTTTATGGCTACAATAGCACGCGCACTCTGATTGACTGCTAAACCGGGGCAAGATCTTCTTGTAATGACCGGGCATTGCTAGCTAGATGTCCATTCATATACAATCTTGGTTAACTTGGTAGTGGACAACCTTATGGACATCCATATTATGGTCAATTGAGAGCTGTCAAAAAAGGTATCTGCTGACCAGTGTCACATGACTGTATCGTGGGCTCAAATTTACAACTCATTGAGGTGACTTTTTTGAAAGTTATCCGCTTACCAGTTATTGGTTCTAATTGAATGTAGGCTCAGGTCTATAATTTCTCATTGTTAAAGAACAGGCCATATAATAAATACAGTCGACTCCCGGTAACTCGAACCCTCTATACAGTAAAATTCCCAAAATAAGTCCCTCCATGTATAAGCCCCTCCAAATATAAGCCCCCCAAACTCGTAACGCAAAAACCCCTTCGTTAAATCGCCCCTCCAACTATAAGCCCCTAGGGGGGCTTGTACTTTGCCCTCAAATACAAAGTAAAATAAAACCGATTTCAAACCGATTTCGAAAAGCAAATTTCCCTCCGTACATAAGCCCCTCCGAATATAAGCCCCTCCAAAAATAAGCCATTCTAAAAGGGACTTTGAAAAACATAAGCCCCAGGGCTTATTTTCGGAATTTTACGGTAACTCGAACCTCCCGTTAACTCGAAGCAATTTTCATTTCCCTTCAAATCTTTTTCTATATAATTTTACCTTCGATAACTCGAACTCCCGATAACTCGAACGTTTTTTTATTTTCCTTGAAGGTGATGTATACATCAAGGCCCTGGTCTGAGATTTCCCTGTAATGACCGAACGGAAGAGGTCAATAAGTATGTGTAATCAAATTGGTAAAGAGTGAAATCAGGGAATAATTTCACGCGCGTTTTGTCCAAATCCTAATAATATCCCGAGCCTAAGTGAAATTATTCGATCCCTAATTTTGAGAGTATACCATTTCATTAGCAGTTGTCATCACGGGTGGCAAATTAGGTTTACAATCATAGCTTTTGGATATTGCTCATCGAACTGATTATCGATCGAGAGCCCACGCAATGCACCTGTCGCAATTTGTAATAATCATCGCACTTTGTAATACCTGTCGCAATTTGTAATAAACCGTGTCGCACTTTTTAATAAAGAAAGCTGTCGCAATTTGTAATAAATTAGTTTGTTTGTAATAATTCATCGCACTTTCAGTGTTAAAAAACTTAATTTTTTTTTTTTGGTCAAACATGCTGTCTTCCGCTATAAATTTTTTTGCCTTAATTAATCACGTGACCAACGAAAATCGCTTTTATGAAAGACATGAAACTTCCTGTGACATGTCACCAAGAAAAGATCACTTCACATATTTGAAATCAAAAATATTTGAGTAACAAAAGCAACATTTAACGACAGAAAATTCATGAATAACCTGGCATTCATCGTCAAAATCCGGATCCATGTTTGCTTGCTACGTGACACGTGAAGTCTTCGGGAGGTCAAAGGAGATAATCCCTTGTGTGGGGTAGGTAGGTATGCATCCCCAGATAGCCTATGGTTTTTGAGGATCTCGAACCTTAAACAGGGCATCATTTTTTACCTTGTTGGCTTTGTATCTTTGGTTTGATCCTTAGATAGGGTAACTCAAGTAGTAATGGATGGTCTATTATCCTTTCTATTTTGTGGGAAAAAAGTAATCCTGAACACGCTCGGAAGAATTGCAAGGTCTTACGAGTTGTATGCACACGGCATTTGTTTTATTAGAGGGCTCCATAGAAAAAAAATTGTTTTAAGATGGAATGAGTACTTGCTTTGTTCCTATATGGGACCAAATCAAGATAGAATAATGGACCAAATGGCCAGCCGGCTCAGTGTATGACCCCAAGTGAGTTTTATAAAATTAGGTACATACAAAGGTATTCGAAAGTGACTAATTGGATTTTGTGTTTATGTTTCTGTTGTGGTTCGACGATTTGCCACTGGTGACGCTTTTGTTTATTTACTGTAAACATTTTGAGTTTTTCCAGGCCTGGTCTGATTAAGTTGGCCAAAATATTGAAACCACTAGTACTTCTTTTAAGATTGCGCGTTACACAAGGACGGTGTTGTGTCGACCTGTTATAAGATCTAAAAAGGAAAGCTTGAACTTTCCTGGTGTCCTCAGTCGAATGATGTAGGGATGGATGTTACGATTTGTGGAAATTAAATGCCTTTTAATAACGGCTCGTTTCTGTCTAGTATAGTGTGTCTAGATTCTGTTCTCTGACAGTGCTCTGTCCAGCGGCACATCCCCGTATAGGCCGTATAAGGTCGTATAAGGGAGTATGCCCTTCACCCGGGTAATCATAGCATGCAAACCACCTAGTACAGTAGCAAGGTTTACGAATACAGAACTTGTAAGTCAGATAACTAATCAACATTAATTTTAAAAAAAATGTTTAGGACCGTAAATTGGCTTGAATGAGAGGAGATACGTTGTAAACTATATAAGTAATTTACGTGCTTACAGACCTCATTATCTTTGTTTATGAAGTACCATTCATATTTTGGCATTACATTAATGTTGACGAAGTAAGTTGAATCACTCTCAAAAATTATTTCAAAGTACGATGGAATTATTACAAATTGCGACAGCTTACACGGTTTATTACAAAGTGCGATGGACAGTTATTACAAATTGCGACAGCTTTTTTATTACAAAGTGCAACACGGTTTATTACAAATTGCGGTAGGTATTACAAAGTGTGATGGATTTATTACAAATTGTGACAGGTATTACAAAATGCAAAGATTATTACAAATTGCGACAGTACCACCGTGTTAGTGCGGAAACTCCACAACGCACCTGATCGGGGGAGGGGAGGGTCTTGCGTTGTCATACCCGGGAGGGCTCCTGCCTGATAGGTCCGTAAAGTCCTGTTATAGTACGATCCTCAAAGAACGTATTAAATACTCGGTCTAACCTATGCTCTTCTTACAGGAAGCACTGAATAGCCTTTTGTGCTGTTAGCTGAGGGTTGTGTTTAATTTTTTCATACTCTAAAGCGCTAATAGAAACTGACAGAAAAAAATACACACCAAGCAGTAAACTCAGAGAAAAATAAAATAAAACACCGCAATCACTACACGAACATGGTTTATTGGGCAAATGCCAAACGAAATAAAAATAACTTTGGAAACCGGTGTTCCTCGGGGAGGCGGAAATGTCTTCCTGAAATGATTGTGTCAGAGTAATTGATCAGTGCTACGCTCGAAAATAACTCAAACCGTAAAATTCCGAAAATAAGCCCCGGGACTTATATTTTTCAAAGGCCGTTTTTGAGGGGCTTATTTTTGAAGGGGCACATATTCGAGGGGGCTTAGGAAATTTGCGTTTAAAAATCGATTACGCTAGCTTATAGTTGGGGGGAATTTACCGTTTTTTCTTTGTTTGGCTTTGTATTTGAGGGCACTGTTTTCAAGTATAAGTCCCCGGGGGATCATATTCGGAGGGGCCATTTAACGGATGGGTTTTTGCGTTACGGGTTTGAGGGACTTATATTCTGTTATATTCGGAGGTGCTTATACATGGAGTTTCGGAATTTTACGGTATTCAGTTGCTTTTATATTTTTTGGATGTACAATGTACGATCATGATAATACTTTGTGAACACTCTTGTGGGGGTATCATTAGTAAAACCGCCCAAACACAAAGCTAAGGATAAGTGATTCTGGAATGTATGGCGCTCTCTATAGTGTCTACGGAACTACATCAAGGGCAGACAAGGACGGATTTTTTCTCAGACGTCAATAGTTTCGGCAGTTCAGCTTTAATAAGTGCTACGTTTAACTTTGTAAAAAACTTCGCGTTAAATTATTAAGACAAGGTTATTCTCAGAAAGCACAGTATCGATCCAGGGACCGAATCTACACTCACTCATTTAGAAATCCGGGCCTCTACTGAGACCCCAGCATCACACCGAACACCAAATCACGACTTAACGGTAGCATTCTAATCTCACTATTACGACAGACTGTGGAAAGTAATTAAGGCCCATTTTTCACTGACTTACACCACACTGAATACAGGAAGTGTTCAGGCGAACGGGTTCGTTTGTCTTTTTTTAGCTCGCCGAGTGATATTATTTGCGCTTCGTGTAGCTATGACGTCATCCACAGACTCTTGGATCCTGATAGGTTGACTACCACGAATTATTTTAGTGTCTATTGTCATCAAGATACTGCACTGAAAACGAGTGGGGCACATGTCTTCTGACAGATACAATTTCCGTTCTACTGCTGGCAACAAGTAGTGCCGCACAACTTGGAATAGCTCGAATAGGAACTTTTCAGCAAACTATGTGGCGTTTTGCTTGACGATTGTTATGCCTAGTGGTTTCCCTGTTCATGCAGTTGCCCTTTTACATGTAATAATTTACACTCATGTCGGGCAAACAATCCCACAGACAATAACGGCTGAAACCTTTGGAAAGGCGCAAGATGAACAAACCTACGTGCCGAAACGTTTAAGGTCCGTTTGTTTTGACCGCTGTGCCAAGGAAGCTAAGGTTAGTCCATGTAACTTGCATTTAAACTCAAGTTTTTATCGTCTGGCTCAAAATACACAAGCACCAGATATATTTAGTGTCGTGACTTCGGCCCTTGATGTGATAATGAGCGTGAAACATACACGTTTTTGTGTGAGAGGAAAACACTAATTCAATCACAAAAGGGAAGCTTTACTTTAGGTTAAATAAGAGATTCTCGCAACCTTAGTTTTCGACATCAGGATTTCCAACTCTTTTTGGCCGTATACGTGAGGGCTTCCTCTCGTTATTAACCATAAATTATTCGCGACATGTATCTCCCGTTTTCCCGCAAGACTTACTTTAAAACAAAAAATGCAAACGCACACAAAATAATGGGACACCTCAGTAAAGGATACAAGTATGTATATGTTGAAACTGTTCTGATCTCCCAACATAGGCCATTTACGCTAGCCTGGTATTATATCAAAATATGATATAGGAAGCAAACATGTTTTATTCTCATGCCTACGGTGTTGACACAAATGCGCTATACCACATTTACCTTCATTCAATTCAATCGATTGTTAAAGTTTAAATTAAGAATATTTTTTGTTTTCTATACCTACATTTTTAAAAACCTTCACGTAATGCATCTTAAGAACACTTTGCCAAAAAAAAAAAAGACCTTGTTTCTTTCGTCGTTGTCCGTATACTTTGAATATATTTAAATAATAGGAATTTATACCTTTTTTCCATAGTTTGTTTGGCAATTTATTTCAAAGGCAAATAAGTTAATTGAGGGCAGAATAAAAAGCTTTTAACTGGAGATTCCTTCTACTAAAACGTTGCCAAAGGTGGCAATTCAGAGTGGATTTTCACTTCTCAAATACTGCATTTACGCAGTTCACAAGTGAATAATGGTACCACAAAGACATAAAGCACTTTGCTTTCTGTATTTTCGACATCTATTTACATTTTTGAAGAAAACTGAATATTTAATCAGCACATACAACAATGCAAGTGTCTCGAAAGTACAAGTCAGAAACCGAATTTAGAGCAGAAAAAAAATGTGTACAACACTGTCTCAGCCAAATAATATTGGACTTGGTGCTACTACGTTCCTTGCAGAATATGACAAATCACGACTTAACGGTAGCATTCTAATCTCACTATTACGACAGACTGTGGAAAGTAATTAAGGCCCATTTTTCACTGACTTACACCACACTGAATACAGGAAGTGTTCAGGCGAACGGGTTCGTTTGTTTTTTTTAGCTCGCCGAGTGATATTATTTGCTCTTCGTGATAGCTATGACGTCATCCACAGACTCTTGGATCCTGATAGGTTGACTACCACGAATTATTTTAGTGTCTATTGTCATCAAGACACTGCACTGAAAACGAGTTGTGCACATGTCTTCTGACAGATACAATTTCCGTTCTGTTGCTGGCAACAAGTAGTGCTGCACAACTTGGAATAGCTCGAATAGGAACTTTTCAGCAAACTATGTGGTGTTTTGCTTGACGATTGTTATGCCTAGTGGTTTCCCTGTTCATGTAGTTGCCCTTTTACATGTAATAATTTACACTTATGTTGGGCAAACAATCCCACAGACAATAACGGCTGAAACCTTTGGAAAGGCGCAAGATGAACAAACCTACGTGCCGAAACGTTTAAGGTCTGTTTGTTTTGACCGCTGTGCCAAGGAAGCTAAGGTTAGTCCATGTAACTTGCATTTAAACCCAAGTTTTTGTCGTCTGGCTCAAAATACACAAGCACCAGATATATTTAGCAGAGGTCGATGTCGTGACTTCGGCCCTTGATGTGATAATGAGCGTGAAACATACACGTTTTTGTGTGAGAGGAAAACACTAATTCAATCACAAAGGGAAGCTTTGCTTAAGGTTAAATAAGAGATTCTCGCAACCTTAGTTTTCGACATCAGGATTTCCAACTCTTTTTGGCCTTATACGTGAGGGCTTCCTCTCGTTATTAACCATAAATTATTCGCGACATGTATCTCCCGTTTTCCCGCATGACTTACTTTAAAACAAAAAAAGCAACCGCACACAAAATAATGGGACACCTCAGTAAAGGATACATGTATTTATATGTTGAAACTGTTCTGATCTCCCAACATAGGCCATTTACGCTAGCTTGGTATTATAACAAGAGATGATATAGGAAGCAAACATGTTTTTTATTCTCGTGCCTACGGTGTTGACACAAATGCGCTATACCACATTTACCTTCATTCAATTCAATCGATTGTTAAAGTTTAAATTTAGAATATTTTTTGTTTTCTATACCTACATTTTTAAAAACCTTCACGTAATGCATCTTAAGAACACTTTGCCAAAAAACAAAGACCTTGTTTCTTTCGTCGTTGTCCGTATACTTTGAATATATTTAGATAATAGGAATTTATACCTTTTTTCCATAGTTTGTTTGGCAATTTATTTCAAAGGCAAATAAGTTAATTGAGGGCAGAATAAAAAGCTTTTAACTGGAGATTCCTTCTACCAAAACGTTGCCAAAGGTGGCAATTCAGAGTGGATTTTCACTTCTCAAATACTGCATTTACGCAGTTCACAAGTGAATAATGTACCACAAAGATATAAAGCACTTTGCTTTCTGTATTTTCGACATCTATTTACTTTTTTGAAGAAAACTGAATATTTAATCAGCACATACAACAATGCAAGTGCCTCGAAAGTACAAGTCAGAAACCGAATTTAGAGCAGAAAAAAAATGTGTACAACACTGTCTCAGCCAAATAATATTGGACTTGGTGCTACTACGTTCCTTGCAGAATATGCAACTTGTTTCTTATAGTGTGATTGACAACTACTATAGTTGTAAGCAGGTGAACCCCACGTTTGTTTACTTTTTAAATCATTTTAAATATTACCACCATGCAAATCCTGCTGGGATAAAATTGAAGCCCAGTGATGCTATTCATGCACCTAGTTCACTGGCTCACCTGGCTCATCAGTGCACACAATATTATTAGTACATCCATATTTGTTGCACACTGGTTTGCAATAATTCCCTGAGTAATGCTTCTATCAGACCTGCTATAAATTTCCATTGTCAATTAACATTTTTTAATTAATGACTTGGCTATAGTTTTTTTTTACTCAGCCTTTTTTCACCATACTAACAAATTTAACACCTAAGTATATAAAAATTAATTCAAAACATGGTCAAAATAAAATATAAAATTCTGACCCTATTTTTTCTCTTCCAAAGCTTATCTGCAGAGTACAAGAAATAATTTGTTAACAACTCTTTAAAGAAAGGCCTATGGTAGTCATGAAATGTTTAATAGCTGAGCTTCTCTTAGATAGCAGTCTCCTTCCATAAGCTTTATTAGACCTCATTTCAACAACATCCATAAGCGACTTAAAAATTAATGTCCTCTCAGTGTTAAGCGACTAGGTATAATTTTTCTGATAAAACCACCATGAGTTCTAATGAATATAACAATCAATATTCATTGACATGACATGATCTATGTGAAAACAACTATAATAACCCAGCCACTGACATTAAGTAAAACAAAAAACTTCAAGTGTATCAGTAGACAGTCCTTTTTAAAGGATACACAATGCTCATGTTTATTGGCCATATTTTTTCCAGGTTATTTTTAAAGAGTGTATGCAAAGCTGCCAAAAGGAATCAACATTAGGTAATATACCTGCTACTGAATTTATTATATAACAAACTTCTTCTTACATGGTTAGCTTGCAACTTCTTTTACCCTATAATAATTTTTTTTATTGAAAAGCCTTCAGTCGTTCTAATTTTTTTGCTCTGCTTATGGATTAAATCCTAAGGGTGTAACCCCCCATCCAAATGAGTTCTTCTCAGCAGTATTTTCACTTCGTACTGTTTGTCTTTTGTCATTTTACAAAAAAAATTGGAAGTTTTGTCAAACTCACTTTGGTCGCTAGGGGAGAGAGAGTAGGGTAGGATAAATTCTGAATTGAGTTTTACATATTCTACAGTAGGTAACATGCAGTAGCACTTTGTTCTAACACAAACAATTCAAAGCTGCTTACATCCCATCATAAGTAACACACAAATGGGTTTTATCCCTACTGCATGTTGCTTTAACATAAAAAAGAAGTGCTTTTTACTACTTAAAAGATACAATTGCTTAATCTACCATTCTCAAAATGTGTAATAATTAATTGTCACATATTGTAAAAAGAATGCCTATTGTAAGAAGACAGAAAAGCACCCTCTTCTAGCAGTTTCTCTCTGCTGTAGCTTTTAACGTGGTACAATACAATGTCATGTAAGTCATTGTGACATAGTGAGTAGTTAGGTTGTTTAAGTTCTACTCGGGGACAATATGAACCCATTAAGAGCAATGGCAATAAAACATGGTATGAAAGTCATTTTGACATAATGAGTAGTTAGGTTGTTTAAGTTCCACTCTGGGACAAATATGAATCGACTATGAACAATTGCAATAAAACACATCAGAAAGAAGCCTCTGCTAGCTGAAGGGTGACAGAATTTAACGGATCCAGTTTGGATTGCTGACAGTGTATGTGACATCACTTGGATTTTGGAGCCACTGAATCATACAATTAGTGACGGGCTATTGTCATTATTACAATGACAATGACAATGTCATTGTCGTTGTTGTTGTTGTCATGTTATCTCTCTCGACTCTCGTAATTGACAACCTCGTCAATAGTTGTCACTGTTAATGTCATTGTCACTACTGTTCAATGTTGTTGTTATCTCTTGCCTTTCTCATATCACACCCTAGCTTGAACAAAACCCAATTAGGCTAGTACTGAAAAAGTGGTCTTTAAGCATGAGAGGTACATAGATCTATGTAAGTCAGCTTCATCCCTGAAGAGGCTGAAAACCATTTCCCCCCCAAAATATGATCTGAGTTATTCTCACTTTCCTGCAGATCAAGCAAAGGGTTTAAGAAAACCAGTGACACAGAGAACTCTTAGTCTTACTCGACGGACTGTTCCAAGGATGACAGTACTGAATGGTATGTTCTTTTTCTTAATAATTGATTAGGTTATCAATATCATTATTATTATCATCATCATTATTAATATTATGATTATTACTATTATTATGATTATTAACTCTCATAACGATAAGCTGTTAACAAAATAATTATCTGTAGGAAGCTTGCTAGAATGAAAACAAGCAGAGTGAAAACATGCTTTAATATATCGTTTTCTTTACAGTACAAGTAGCATATTCATATGCAATGTCTGACGGCCACTTTCATCAGGAACATTAACGTACTTCTCTTTTAAACTACTTTACATGACTTAACAAACATTTTTCCTGTTTAATCTACAGTATGAAACTGAACTTTTGTCTCTTATACCTTCTTAAGAATGCAAGATGGCACCAAATTATCCAGCACCTAAACAAGCAGAGGGCCTGTCAGTTGACTTTGAGACAAATAGGACTCACATTAAAGTCAGCTGGAAGGCAATAGATCCCTCAGATACAGGTTTGCAAAGCATACATTGTTAGTACCATTTACTTTGTCCTAGAAACCAACAGTTACATGATTTTTAAGGTCATCCTCTTTTTTTTCTCCATTTACGGTCATCCGATGGACCCAAATTTTTGGCATTTTTGGCATAATTCTTTTAATCTGAAAAATGAGTATAGTAACAGCACAGAGAAAAACAGGAACAAAAACATGAACATTTTTCACTGTATATTGTACATTTTGTTAATCCAAATATGAGAATGTTAACTTTTAACGTTGTCCTGGGGTACCAGGGCCTACCATTCCGAGACTTCTTGTGATTTTTTTTTGGTTTTTTTTTTTCAATCTGACCGACCGACCGACCCAATATCAGGAAACGCATTTGATGGTAAACGAAGGAAAAAATGGGGATGGCCTAACTAACATAATTCTATTTAATATGTAGTTTAATATATATTCGTTTTTCACATATTTCTACAAATATCAAATTATTAATTAACACTTCAACTTAATAGTCTGCGGAGACGGGAGGTCTCTGTGGGCATTCAGCTGGAAATGGGACATTCTGTGGAAGGACTGCCGGATTAATACCAAAAGGCTACAAACAAATTCATCCCTTTGAAAAAAAAAAAGGCTGAAGAATGCACAACTTACAATATGTTATGAACTTAAATCAATAATGCTGGCAGTGTAAGTTAAGGATAAATGATATTATGATTTGTTCCCAGGTTTCAACTGGACGGACTATGCAGTGATCTATCAAGTTGGCGAAAAGAAAAAAGCCAGTTGCAAAGTAGTTCCAAAGGTTGGTGAACCATAAACCTCTCGACAACTTTTTATCAAATACTTTCACTTCCAAATCGAAAAGGACATAAATTTTTATTCGCTCCCTTCCCTACTCTGCCGTAATTTAACTAAGAACTTTTTTGCATCTTGTTAAAGATCACTGATTTCGACTGTAATAAATAGTATATAAAAGAAAGGGACATACATCCAAGTAAGCTCTCCTGGCTTGCAAACTCATGTGGAACTTCTTGTAGTGTTTGTTATAGCATCCTTGGTGCCAAGACTGTATTTTCTTTTCTGTACAACTTAGTGTACAACTCCGTGGTTCAAGAACATACAAATGTTGCAAGCATTCGGAACGGCCAGCGCGCCATTTTGTCTGTTCACACTTCACTCGCTTAACCCCTTGCTCTGGAAAAATGTTTATGAATAAATTCGCTGACCTTACCCTTTATACCCGTGGAAATCATCAACACAGCAAAAATCAGTGCTCCAGTTGGAAATCGACCACAGAACTTGGCTCATTTACAGTTGGTAACCTTTACTGTTCTGTAAAAGCCCGCAGCAATGCTTTGCGCGGGAAGTACTTGGTAACCGTTCCTTCAACCAATTCCACAAAACCCACTGTTAGAGGGTGGTAGCCATATTACTGCGCCTCGTGGGAGGGACGAAAAAATATGCGTTTTGCAATGGCGTGTTTATCAGGATGGAGATCCGTGGCGTTAGTAACACTGAAACTGTGAAGAACCCTTGAAGTGGCCAGATTTTTTCGCTTGATCCACTTTGCACATCCAGGGAAAGTACCACGAAAAAAGTTTCCATTAATAGATTATACGTTCAACTTAGTTTGTGTTGCCTCAACAAGTTTTGTTTCTTTGTGAACGGCGCGTTAATTTTCTTCATTTGGAAATGTTACCCTTTCTTTCGCGTTAATTTTCTTTATTTGGAAGTCGTTTTCCAATTTCAGTGGCGCCAATTTCCAATACCTTAACTTCAAAAGCCCAGGAGCGTTACTTTCCTATAATAAGATAACATCGCAAGACAGATATAAAAAATAAAAACGTTGTTTTTATAATTCTAAGTTTGATGAGGTTACCAGTATTTTGTTCAATCTGCAGAATCAAACGTTCTACATGGTGCCACAGGGACATTTTTCATACCCTGATCCCTTCTACGTTTCGGTATGTTTTAAACACTTAAGATGTAAAAGCAGTTTACATACAATAAAGATAAACATAACAGGGATCAAAGTGCTGGTTTCTTGTGTAAAAAAGTCATTGGGCGCTTTCCATTCAACAAAAATTCCGGTTTGAGATTTCGGACATTCAACGTGCCCAACGGAACGATCCTGTGACTCCGGTTGCACAGACCCGACCTTAGCCACCGCGCGTTTGGTTATTGTTCTTGTAAGCAGCATACAAAAGAGCGGTACATGGGACGACAATTATGTCAATTGGAAAGGGACAATAGGGTCCGACGAGCAGAAATGATCAAACCGGTCGAAGTGGACCACCTTCAAAGCTCGTCCCGAATATTCAGGTCGGACCAAACCGAAATGGTCCGTTTCATGTTATGTATCAACCGAAATTTCCGGAATTTTGTGTGTTGAATGGAAAGCGCGCACTTTTTTTACCTCATGTAACATCCGCAACCGGCCTGCTATGTTAGTGGACCGTAGTGAAAATTGGACGTACTGAGTGCTTACCACAGATCAAAAATTGTGGGTTGTGTGGTAAATAGAGGGAGACCAAACTACTCAGGCAAATTTAGCCAAACGAAAATGGTGATAGTATTTGCGAGCAATCCTAAAGGTTCAAAAACAAGAAATTAACAATGACGTATCGCGAATTCACTGCAGCCTTCCAACCAACGCACATTGATCTTTGCGTCGTTACCAACATTTCGCAACATAAGCGCACTCAACACTGTAAACAGTTTTATTAACACAGAAATATTCAGAAAAATATATCTCTCTCCTTTTTATATCTTTTTTTTTTTAAGTCTAGAAAATTTTCAAATACTTAGCCTTTAAATGAAAATGCTATGTTGCATTGCGAATTTTCCTTCCTCCTTCATGAATTTGCATCCGCTTTTTCAAAATGAGATCCCGGGATTTTATTACCTGATTTGTCGAAAATGTCCGATTTCCTCTAGAAGAGAGCCCCTTCTTTTCTTTTTTTCTTTATTTTCACTTTCCACTTGGATATCATCCTTTTGAAGAGCATTACAGGCACTTCATAAGTTTTCTAATAAAAAGGACCAGAAAGGTTAACTATGTTATTGCTCCTACGTGTTACAAGTAACGCCCTAGTTACTAGTGAATAGTTACTCTGCCCTACACCGCCATGCTCTATAGTATTATTCATTCTATTCACTTTATTCATCCTACATGTAGGTTGTTACACATCCTTACAATGGAGATAGCTCGGTTCAACTAAGCTTATTTACCCCCAAAGGTAATAGTTTTACATCATGTATTCCTTTACAGTTGAAGTTTGTAAGGGTTACCTTATAGCAATTTAAGTGATGCAACAACAGAATCATACAGCCTAGACCTTTAGATTCTAAGACGAGAACGATTAAGAGTTCACGGTACTGAGTATTGCTCACGCCTGAACCAGCGTCATGGGCGGGAAAACGTGATAGCCGTCGTCATTTTACTAGTTTTAGCGCCTGTCGTAATGGGGGAACAAGTTGTCAAATGTTAAACTAATTTTGTCACTGTGAGATTAAAAGAAGGCTTAACCTCCTTCAATGAAAATAACTGACTGTGCTAACGTCTCTGGTGAAAAAGAAGTACAACTGATGTAGCTTTCCGGGGTGATTTTTGGAGAATACGCGAAAAAACTTAAAGATTAAAATATCTTTCTCGTAGTCGTAGTCGTCCTCGCCCTCGAATCAAAAGGTCTTTAATCTTCTCTACCTCTGACTGGACTATAGCTACTTGTTGCAAAATGGACCTTACTCTTAAAATAACTATTTTAAATTTTAATTTCTACTTTATCGACAGTTACGAGACCAACCTTTTCTCCTAACATTTCTGGTAAAGGTAGGCTACATCTAGATTTATTCTATTGTTACGTGCAGTACATGTCGGAATGAATGTATTCCAATGCGCCTATCTTGGTTTGTTTAATTGTTTTAATTTTTCCAGTGGTTTTCGAAGTAAACATGGATACTTGATCGACGGAGTGTGTAGCTCTTGCGCCGGCACTAAGATCGGAGCGCTTCTGTTGTTGATTTCGGTGGTGATTTCTGTAACGCAGCGAAGCTGCCATTTCACAGTGCTATATTAACATGACGAGAACGTACAACGCGCGTGGCTCCTAGACTTAATGAGCATTCAGTAAATAGGCCCGTTGCAGCTAGTCTTTGACGCGCTACAAATCCGCCATACTGGAGAGCAAGAAACGCAATGGGACAAGAGAAACAAAGGCCAAACATCAGTTAATATGGTAATTACTTTGTTTGTCTTCTCCTAGTGCGCCCCTTACTCTCCAGCGTGGCGGTTTTGTACCACGTGAATGGCTATCCGCAAAAGGCCAATGGGCCACTTGCACTAAGAGGTCACGTGACCAATGCTTCCTTTAAACAATGAGTTGGAATCTTGCTGATGCCAAAAATTGACAGAGCACATAAAAATTAGCTTACACCCGAAGTTTGGGAGGAAACGCATTTAAGGGAGATATTTTATGGCACTTTGATTTTTCAACAAAGTAGTATGATTTGTATTGGCCGCCATGTTGGAGGGCATACTCTTGCCCTCCAATATGGCGGCCAAAACTACTTTTTGCTTATATCTTAGCTTGTTAAACGTTTAATAGTTACGCTCAGATTTACTGTAAACGTTACCACATCATTTTTTCAACATCCTCCTTGAAGTTTAAGTGGAAAGCTTGTGTCCAGAAAGAAGTAATTCATAATTTTAAAAATAACATTTTGGTCACGTGACTAGCGAGGAACTTACTCATTTTTAAAAAATGCTGCGGGTTTGAAAAACTAAATCACTATTATTTTGTTTAAGATATGACCCACTAATCGTTTTTCGAAGGCAAAATCATACAACTTTCATTTTCATGAAAACTATGTCACATGACCTCTTAGTGCAAATGGCCCATTTGCACCGACTTTGATTCAACTCTCATATGGTCTTTAACTTTGCAGACGCGTCTAAACTTGTGACTACTTCAGTCGTAGGAATAATGGCTGGATTGTTGCTGTTACTGCTTATATATCTTGCATTCAGGTGCAGGAAGAAACGACAATGTCCTGGTACGTCCAAGGCTTGCTAGAGGCAAATGTTCTTTTTTTAGTTACTCTTTTACACAGTCTGAAAAATGTAATATCTTGCTGTTTAATTATATGCTTTTTTTATAATCAGTTTTTAATTTTTTTTTTTTGAGCATGATAGCTTGTAATAAGGCTTTGTAGAAAAATAGATTCCTGATGTCTATACATCGTAGTGTCGCTGGAGTCAGGGCGTTGTATCGTTCATGGAACAAACACACAGGTTTAAAAAAAAACTGTTTTAATGCATTCTATGTTTTCTTTGGAATAATTGATTGTTGAAAAACAGTAATACAATTTCAACTCAGATCCAACATTGTACAGCATTCCTTCGCCAGCCCCATTCAGGCCAGATAATCCTAAAGGTAAGTATAAATAGAACAGTAGTTTGCACCTGTTTCAATTTCACAACGATTTCATTTTCGTCTTTAAAACGACCTTGAAACCAGCAGAATATTTTCACAACCATCAGGAATGTTATTAAAACTTTTAAGAGGAGATTTTAAAATCCAAATCACCGGACTAGAACTGTCAAACGTGTGCGCACGATGCAAAAATTGCCATTTCAGCCTGAAAGTGGACAAAATTTCTGGGCCTAAACGGTCTTAAAAGATCACTGACCTTTTCCACGCACATCCGCTGTTCAAGTCAAAGTGTTGAAAGGCCAAACACGATTTACAGCATGTTACAAGCTCGGTAGAGTGCTAGTGTAATTAGAGTTTTGCTTTGGACAAGAATGTAGGAGATAAGCGTTGGCTTTTCGTATATTTCTCTCTGTAAACGCTGGATTAGGTGGCATTTGCTCATAAAGGTGTTCTCTTGGTGAGGCAACGGCGGGATGATACGTCCCTAGTAGGTTGTAACTGAACAAAAAGCCGGTTTTTTTCCAGTTTATTGTTTTGTAGTAAATTAAGCCGACTTCCGCTCAGCAAATTCAACCTCCGAGGTAAATTTTTTCAGTGAGATTGTGAGGAAGGCTTTTAGTACGAAGGCATATGAGTTATCTGAGCAGTTTGTTTTAAAAGTTTAAGGCCTTCACCCTTCATGAGACCTTTCTGATCTTTTCTGGAGTCTCGCACTGCGGGTCTTGCGTGAAATTTCTCAGGTTTCAAAGAGCACGTTCTTAGTTAGACCCGACCGTAATCTAGCACGAGGTTAGGTAAATGTAGCGGTCAGCTATAGTTTGTCTTATCTTTGCAGAGGTGTACTACGCCTGCTACTATCCGGAAGGAGAAGATTTTCGAAAGCAGGTAGCATCCATCGTTAACTACTTCCGGCAGAATGGCTACAACGTCATCATGGACGTCATGGTATCTGCAGAAATTACTTCCCAGGGCCCCACGCGGTGGGCAGAGGGACAAATAAGGAGGGCGAAGAAAGTGTTGGTGTTCTTATCCCCGGGTTTGGTGAACCTGGCCTTAGATGGACGAGATAATACACAGTGTCAGGTAATAGTCAAGACTATTTGATACTTTTGAGTCTTAGTTGTTGTAGACAGCTCCACAGTTTTTCAGTGACAGCGCGTGCGACAAAAGATCAGGAGACATACGCACGTAGGTTACCAGTTAAGTTTAAAAAATGTTCCTGACTTAGCTTGGTTAAAAAAAGTGTATTCAGTTTTTATTTTATGAGCGGCCGGACTTCCATGCGTTAAAAACTGAAGTTGGACGCAACAAGAACATAGCAATTTTGTCACGTAAAGCTACGTAAGAGCTAGCCTGAACTATCGTGTGGGTCGCGCCTGTCTGACATTCGGTGCAGAATATCAGTTGTCATCCATAAGTGGCATTTTTATCTATTCGTGCCTTGTTTTGAGGACCTCTATTGATAACAGTCTTGTAAAATAGTTACCTTGTAAAATACTGAAAGAGCTACCCTATTTAAATAATGTTTTCACTTATAGTTCGGCTATTTCGTTCTCGTATAAAGTGTGAAACCTTCCCCCATCTTCTCTAGCCTTGCACTGCTCCTAGCCGCTGTTGACTACGGTTCAGTGGCCTTTTTCTAAGTTTAAAAAAAATGCCACTAGCTAGTTTTACTACCTTAGAACAAACGCCACCGAATCGTAGTCAACGGTTGCCGGCACCCCTACCGTACAAACAATAACCAGAGTTTATTAACATCAACGGACGTGATACAACTCACTTTGACTCTGAAGGTGACTACCGCACAAATTGTGGAAACACCTGTCACTGTCAACAACACTACTATTCAGAACTATACTCACTCGGACGATCATATTCAACCTACTCAGTTATGGAACGTTGTTTTTTGTTGTTGCTAGGAAATCAACCGTGTTTGGTTTGAGCTGGAGGTACTTCGAGATATGTACACCAGGAATCGCTCCGCCTCTAAGATGGTATGCTTGTTGCTGCCTGATACGTCAGTCTCAACGTCAGAACTGCCTCTGTGGGCAAGAGTCAGCTACAAGTGGCCGCACGATGTTCAGGAAATTTTGAAGCGATTAAACGATAGACCGATGATACTACCGTTATAAAAACTGCATTGTATAAATTAGAATGGACTCTGAGTTATAGTAGACTTGGAGAGACAAAATCGTTTTTATTTTTAAGCTCCTTTTTCACGGAGAAACCTTGTCCGGGGTGGAAGGGTTACTCGCCTACCCGAGCTACCCTGGGCGAGCAAACGTTTCGTTCATTTCCTCACAAAAATCAGTGAACGGTTTGCACGAGAGGCTCAACCTATTTCGATAGCAAGGTCACCCTTCTAGTCGGGCCATCCTTTCTCCATATAAAAACTGTGACTCAGCTGGGTCTTGAGTCAGTTCCCCTCTGTTAGTCTCGTACGCGTTCGCGACAACCGAGCCCGTTTCACCAATCGAAGAAAGAGTATGTTTGCAAGCGATTTCAGCTGAGCCGGCCCTCCCACTGAAAAGGGTTTTTTTTGTAGCCCTAAGTATTGGAAAAGAGACACAGGGGCCGAGCTTAAAGTTGTTTACAGGCAAAACTTCATGTGCGACCACTTTTCGTACGCGACAATCTTCTCAAAATACCAAAATCGGTTTTCTTGACAGTCAAAGCCCTATATTTGTCGCATCTCACAAGTGATCCCCTATTATAGGCAAATCACTCTGAGTCCTGATGCAAAACTAAGATTGAAAGTTTCCTGCAATGAACTCCACTTTGCCAGTCTGCCAGTCTGCTCGCATCTGCCACAGCAGACGCCACAAAGTCTATTGGACGAAGCCTTTTATGGCTGAAGATTGATCCATATTTTACCAAATGCGTGACCTTTAATTTAGCCATACGATAATAAATTTAATAGTATTTCTAATTAACGTATTTAACATTCAAGGAACATAAAACTTACTTTATTGCGAACATAAATAGGGTGAAGGCCTTGTTATTTAAGTCTGGTTTATTAATAAAATCGTCGCGCTTAGAAATAAGCGAATTACGAAATTATTTTACAAAGATATAGATATTAATAAAAAAAGAATTAATTTAAACTAATTACATCGTGTTCAAAATGGACTTGGCCTTACAATTATGAGAAGATATAATACAATAAATTAGATAAAAAAACTAGACACTAGAAATATATATCAAGTTATACATTAAATTCCCATAAGTTCCGAATTTACATGCCATGAGCATAAAGGCACATCGCCGGAAAAAGCTTCGTTTAAAGCGTTCAGTTTTGCAACTTATAAGGAATGGTCTGTCTTTGTTGCGAAGGGAACGGCCGTGCGCCTGCGACCGAGTCGGTGGAACAAGATGGCGAAGACGGGACTGAGGCTCTTTTATCTTTGTGAATAATTTGCTACACAACTCCATTCTTCTTGTGTGAAGTGATACACACCCGGTAGTAGCTAAGGCCTCTATTTATCCTGA